TTCAGCATCTTAGCTGTAGAGGGCAGTGTCACTGGCCCTCATATGTGGGATCCGAACCGGGGCCCTCTGGCGTCCTAAGCCAGCTCTTAACCATCGCGCCACTCAGCCGGCCCGAAGAAGATTTTTTTTTAAAGCTTCCTAATCCTTATTGTATTTTTTGCAATTATAACTTGTGTGCTGATGCGACCCTGGTGGAATGTCTGTCTGACACACTTGCGCCTATCAGGTAGGTGCAGGGGAAGCTCCCAAATTCATGAGCAAGGTTAGGTTTTGTAGGCGCCATTCAGAAGGAAAAGATCAGGTTGTTACCTAATAGACAAACTCCACCACCATGGTGACTCCCACAAAGTCCTCCCTTACCTCACTCAGTTCAAGTGGCACGATTGGTTCTGGGTAATCAAACACCTAATTATGAGCATCAGCTGCTGATCTAATCAAGCCCCAAACACCCACTCCCTCATCATTCAGGTGAGCCCAGAAGGGCCCCAGATGTCCCAAGTCCCGGGGGGGGGAGCAGTAGGACTGCAGAGCACCCTGGGGTCTCCAGGCGGGGCTGCAGAATGACCCAAAGTGTGGCTGCTTTTTCCTTATGGGGTGGGGTTTCTCTGACAATAAATATAAAGAAAAACAGTGTCGCCTGCTTGTAGGTTAGAAATGTGACTTGTTCCAGTGGCTTGGGCGCCACGCACAGGGGCTGTGTTCACAGCCTGTCGTCTGTGACCTGGTCTGACCTCTGAGCCTCAGGCCATAAGAGCTGCTTTTGGGGCCAGGCGACTCTATCAAAATACAGTGTTGTTCACGGTCGCCTTTTGATTAAGACGTGGTTCATGGTCACGTGGAAGGGGTGGCACATACACAGGAGAAACCTCCCTTGTAACTTCATCCAGCAATAACCGTCGGTGAAATACCTGTTGTTGACATTTTTTTCTCCAACAAAATTAGGATCGGACTGTACAGACCATTTTATGTCCTTTTTGCCCAATCTAATGAACATTTTGCGATACAATTTAATGTCCTGGAAACACGATTTTTGCTTTGGCTGTAGCCTGTTGCACCCTATGGATGAACTAGTTTACTTGATTGAACTTTCTCCCACCTGCATGACGCCGTGCCCACCTACTCTGGAGTTAGCACCTGAAAACGCCCAATCTCCTTTGAACGTCTCAGAACGAGTGACCCTGCTCTCCTACCATTTTGAAGGTCAAATATGACACTTCCCATGAGCACTTAGGGGCTCAGGGTGGAACCTTGCCCTCATCTTAAGAATATTATAATGATGTGTGCCTTCTGCCAGGTTATCGTTTAAACATTCTTTGCATTTTGATTAGATACCTCTGATGGCTTGGTGCAATAACTACGTATAAAATCTGGCAAGGCAAACTAATACCAGAGGTAAGAAAATCATCTTTTCCCCACTCACAGGTGGGCAGGTGGAGAGCAGTGCTTTCCCTGGCTTTCCGAGGTTGGGACCAGTGGGTCCCGTCCACACTGGGGGACAGCTGATAACGGAGTCCACAGTGGCCTGGGGCAGTCGCTCCAAAGACCACATGGAAGCCTTCAAGGGCTTTATAAGCTGAGCAACTTTGATGGCGGTTCTAGGGCCACAGCCTCAGAATGTCACCAGCGTTTCAGCTGTTCCCCACTGGGTTGGTGGCATGCCTCCACTCCAGAAATCAGGTAACTCTTAGAAGCCATGGGGGTGGGTGCTTTGGTGGGGTGGGGAAAGGTGTCAAAACAGGCCCCAAAAGACCCTGAGGAGTGATGACAGCTGTGTTTTAAACCACTGTCTTCCTCGCTCTGGTGGATGGCAAAAAATGGCCATAAACGCTTTGTCACTCCTTCTATCATGGAGGCTACTTTTCCACCCCTTAAGTCTGGGCTTGACCAAGCGATGTGCTCGGTCACAACAAACGTGCTGCGCGCCGAGAACTGCGTAACGATGGAGCACGGGGGCTTAGGCTGTCGCTGCTGGGACCACGTTGCCACCAGGGAACGAACCATGTTATCCTGCCACACGAGGACGGAGACATGTGTGGCCGAAATTCCAGCTGACATCAACCGACTGCCAGACACGTAGGTGACGCCATCCAGAGCGCCAGCGCCAGCAGAGCTGGACCAGACCAACAGTCCTGCCCTGTCCACCCACAAACCAGGAGGAATAATAAGCTGTTTCTCCAGGTCACTACGCTCCAGGGCGGTTTGTTCCCCTGCAAGGGCTCCCTGACACTCTCCACACCCGGGTGGCTGAAGGCAAAGCTCCAGCTTTGAGCGTGACTGAGCAGATGGTTATAATCTGTCTTCCTGGATTTACCTTTCCCTCCTGACCCATTTCTATCAGTTCTCCCCCTTTCAGTCACTCTGCACCCGCGCTCCCCGCTTCTCCGTGTCTGCCTCGTGCTCTGACCTTACCATTCTTCTTCCCACAGGTGCCTGCCCCTGCTGTCCTCACCTCCTGGCTTGTTTGGGGAAGTGTGAGCAAATTGAAACATCCCCAAATAACAGAGCCACAGCCCTGCCCTGGGCGGGAGCTGTACGCCAGTGATGGCCTCTGCAAGGATGCCTGAGCCCACGGACAGATGGAGGCAGTCAGGCTCCGGAGGGACCTGACACCGGTGGAGAGCTGAGTGCCACACTTAACCCTCCCCACGGCCCGGGGGGTAGGAACTGATGGATGGGAAAGCTAAGGTTATGAGGGTGGAAGGGGACCAGCTGCGTCCCTCTGAGAGGGTCCTAACTCCTGGCACCTGTGACTGTGACATTATAAGGTCTTTGCAGAGGTCAAGTTGAGGCCATATGGATTATGTGAGCCCCAAATCCAATGACTGGTGTCCTGATAAGAAGGAAGTTTGGACACAGAGACACATAGGGGAGGAGGCCATGTGATACTGGAGGCAGAGAGTGGGGTGAGGTCGCCACAAGCCAAGGAACCCCAAGGATTGCTATAGTCCCCAGAATTGGGAAGAGGTGACTAAGGATCCTACCCAGGAGCCCTCAGAGGGCCCTGCTGACACTTTGATTTTGGACTTCTGACCTCCAGAACCGGGAGAGGATCAAGTTCTGTTGTCTGAAGCCACCAAGCTTGTGGTTCTTTGCTATGGCAGCCACAGGACACTAATACAGAAGGTGTGTCGTTCACACAATCGGTGAGAAGACAAATCCAGGAGCACTGAACCCCAGTCCTGCTGGACTCTCTCCAGCACAGGTGGCCTCTGGGTGGCTCTCCATCCTTGTGGCAGAAGCTGTGCAGAACGGGGGGGACAGGAGCAGCCTTACCTGGAGGCCGGTGGATGGGCCTGCCCAGGCGAGCAGGCCGTACGTACATCACCGCCAGGAGCTTTTCTGCAAGGTCCTTCCCCACCGGCGAACGGCATATGTCAGGCTGGCAGGCAGGCTGGGTGCCTGGAGCCGGTGGACAGCTCCACAGTGCTGGACGCCGTGTGCCACGCTGCCAGCCACTTCCTCCGGGTCGCTTAGCGCTATGGGACACACACCAGCTACTTCACAGGCGTCTGGGCACCCACGGCAGCTGTGCGAACAGGCGGATCACTCAGCCCACCACACGGCTCTTCTGTCCCATTCCAACTGGCACACTGAACGCACTTTGAATGTGTTGTGAAATTACTTTTAGGGGAAACGGCAGACATTCCTGCAGAGCTCTTGTGGCCACGCGTAACGGTCAGGTGCTGGACGCCACGACTCGCTCACTGCTCTGCGAGGGACCCGCTGTCCACCTCCGCCACCTCTCCCTCACACCTGTCACTTTGTTCCTTAGCGAAGCCCAAATGTCCCTTGTTTTTCCCTGTTGGCTGCCAGGTCTGAGGAACAGAGCCAAGGATAAACGCCTGCCATCGTGTCATCCTTTTAGCTTCCTTTTTCTCGGCGGGCAGGGAGGCTCGGTGAGCCATTCGTGCCTGTACACACATAAATGCATTGCACATGCGCGCATGCGCACACGTGCACACACACACACACACACACACACACACACACACACACACACGCTCAGACATACTCAGTGTCCCTGTCCCCCCCCGCCCTCACCACACACACACAAACTCTGCAGGATGATTTTTTTTCTCTTACATGACTTCTTTGGGTTAGTGACCACAAACTCAGACTCATTCGTTTGGCAAATGTCCGAGTTCCTAATACGTGCCAGTCACCAGGGCCGGCCCTAGGGTGCACAGGGTCCTGGGAAATTAAATTACTTTTTGCTGGGTGCCTATCTATACTATGAACAAGCTAGGGTGGGGCCTCCCTTTGTGGGCTCAGCGCCACCCAGAAAGTCCCCAGTGCTTGTCCCTAAAACAAAGGCAGGAAGAAGAGGGCAGCTTTCTCCCCTGAGACAGACACCCTCAGCTGCACAGAGTCACCCCGGCTCCTTTTCTTACCTTAAATGTTCAGGTCCCACTCCCCGGGAAATGGGCACCCCTGTGGTACGTTTGTGTCCTGCGCGGACATGTGCTGCCTCGTGTGACCAGGCTGCCTCAGGTCCCCACCAATGTCCCCCTCGCAGCTCACAAACACAGGACACACCGTCCTTGAGCCCCGGGCACCGGTCTGACATTTAATGTGGAATTTACACGGATGCACGTATCACGTCACACTGGGAGGGGCCCTGGGGTCCATCTGTGGAAAAGCATGGTGTCCTTGTCTCCACGTGAGGACGGAAGGAGGACGTCTGTGGTTTATCAGATGCACAAGTCCACCAAAGAAAAAGTACAGTACCCATTTCTGTATAAGAATATATTATTTAAAAGGCAGTTTAAAAATAAAAATTCTGTACAGCATCATGAATTCTTTTTTGTTTTGTATCGGTGAACAAAACAGTTCTTAGAAAACGTGGTCGTGCGGTGCCAGGCGCTCGGGGTCAGCTCTTCCCTGCATGGCTCTCACAACGTCCGGCAGCCGGGGCGTGAACACTCGCGGACGCTCCCGCGCCCTTCAGGCTCGGTCTGCTGGGGACGGAAAGCGACGGCTGGTTTGTTTCTGTTGGGGCTGAAATGTGCAGGCGATACTGCAAATGTCACAGGATCAGACACAGACTATGTTTGAAAAATAAGGCCATCACACATATTGTTGGACTTGTTTAGGCAAAATAAACCCATTTCGATCCCTCTTCCAGCCACTCAAAAATAGGAGGTGACTTCAAAATGAAAAAGCCGGTGTTTTCTCAGAGTTTCTTATGTACTGGCTCTCTGCTCAGTGACTGGCCGACACAACCACAGAAACAGCCTCACTGCCTCTGCTTCAGAGGTGACGGCTGAGGCTCAGAGAGGCTGAGCCGCCAGAGCCCATCACTCAGCTGGTAATCGGCAAAGCCCGCACTCAGAGCCTGGCTTGTGGGATGCAGCCGCCTCTGCCCCTCTTACAACACCCAGCCCTGGCTTCTCCTGCTGGGCACCTTGACTGTGATATAAACCGAGGCGCTCTCTAGTGACCACGTGTGGGGTGTAGCCTTATTATTGGGGCGGATGCCCTGGTCTGCCTTCTGCAGGGGCTGAGAGGACGGCTCCGGCCAGCACGTGGGCAGGCACAGGCTTACAGGCAAACGCTTTCTTGGTGAAAAGCTTTGAAAAAGTGCTCGCCCTTATAAGTGGTACACATGCTAATTAGTGACCTTTTCCTATTAACTAATGCATGTCCCCCTGCCTTCAGAGCCTGATTCTAATTATTATAAGAAATACAAGTTTCACTTAAAAAGATTCGGTCTTCAGATCTCCCTCCTCTCCCCTCCCCCTTCCCAGATCCGCATTTTAGCCGATTACTGTGCCACCGAGACTCAACATGAAAGAGCGTTACCTTCACTGTTTTTCACCTCTCTGCTTTTCTCCCTCGGCTTGTCGGAGCTCCCACATGTCAGGCCCTCCGTCTTCTTCTGCAGCCGGGACAGAGCACAAAGAAGACACAAGTCAGGCTTCAGGGGACAGTGAGGGAGTGACAGTGAGAGCTCCCTGCTGACCAAAGATGTTAAAACGTGGAACTGAGACCGCCATCTACAACCTCGGTGCGTCCAAGCACACGCGTGTGAGCTTTTCAGACACCGCTGCGTGCACGAGCCACCTGCCCACCGTGGGAGGTCTCACCCGCGCGCCTGTCTGGCGCTTGGACGGCGAGCTCACACTGGCTGCAGCGGACATGGCCCCCCGGTGGGTGCAGTGGGGGTGGTGAGCATGGACCCCGTGTCCCTGCACCTCCTTTGCTGGGCTGTCCTCTCTGGGGGCAGGAAGGCACCTGGAGGATCACGGTGGCCCCCAGTGGGCAGCGCGGCTGGGACTTGGAGACGCAAGGCCTTCATCGCGATGGCTCGCGGGGGGCCCCATAGCTCTCCTGCTGGGGACATGGCCAGGGGGACACCTCTTCTTATCTCTGTATCATTTGCGCTTAGGCTGATGGTTTCAGGACCTGTTTGTGACCTGGTAGAGTCTAACTGAGGAGACCGGGATGGCCAGTCTGGACTGTCGCCGGGCTCAGGAGCATCTGTGAGCTCCTGCAGAGTGTCCGGCGTGCACACAGAGCAGGCCGAGGGCCACACAGGCCGGGCCGGGAACGCAGCGCCCTGCTCAGCCGGGTTCGGTGCGAGTTCCTGGCGGTGACGACTGGTGGGGACACCAAACGGGGAGGCCCTGGCTGAAGTGAGTGGTGAGCGGGTAGTAATGGCGGTGGGGTGGGCGGGCACTGCAGGTTGGGGATGGTGTGGCCAGCAGATGGCTGAGAGAGGGGGGTGGGAGAGTGGACCCAGGGGAGGCCACACCCCGAGCGGCTTGGAAGTCAGGCTGGGGAGGTTGTCGGGGTCCCAAGAGGCAGGGGGCACACCCTGGGGTCCTGCCTCGGCCAGACCAGCTCGTGGGGTTTTGTGGAGAGCCTCTACCCCGGTTCTGAGCCTGTGAACTGCGCCTTCTGAGGACAGTGTTCATCCCCAGAACACCCTAAGGCCAGGCCTGGCCCGTCTCCCTGGCCCCTGGGCGGGGCCGGGCAGCCACAGGGCAGGGTCCGTAGCCTGACGCTGGGATGTGGGTGGCGGCTTTGCCCCTGCTGGGGAGCGTCTGTCTCTTTCCACCACCCTGGGCAGGAGGAGGGGAGGGGCGCCGTGGGGCCCGGATGCTGCTCGGAGGGGATCTAGACGCTGCCACACTCGGTCATACCTGGGCGGGCCTCCCTGTAGCACAACATCTAACTATATCAGGTCCCCTAATTTGATTGACCTGGCCTGTCTCTGTGCTGGCAACGAGCCCCTGTCCAGAGGGGCCACCAGTGGTGCCAGTGTGTGGAGCGAGCCTGCGTGTCACCTGCTCGCCCCTCGGAGGGCCACACTCTCTCGGCCGCACAGACGTTTACCTCTTTCATGGTGTCGTCTATTTGCTTCAGCTCCTCATAACGGTCCCTGGATTTCCAAAGGGGCTGCAGCATGAGCTCCTCGACCGCAGGGAAGAGCTGGAGAGAGACAGGTTCATTCACACAGTCCCTCACGAAGGTGACGGAAAGCGTTTGGGGAAACACAGGTGTCAGGTCCTGTGTCTCAGAGGTCACACAGGAAGCCTGGCGCTTCCGGAGCCCCCAGGGTCAAGGCCTGCAGCTGAACCCAAGGTGACTGAGGTTCCGCGGTCTTTGGTCAATGGCTCCTGGAGCCCCTTGCGCCTGCCCCCCGCTCCTTCCCCCCATTTCCAGGGTCCCTGCTGTCTCACGCTTTCCACAGGGACCTGGTAGAAGCCACTGCCTTCCCTCCGCCTCTCGTCCCCCTGTGACTGTCCACGCTGCAGTCTCCCATCTCCCCAATGCCAAGCTCACCCACTAGGCCCCCGACAGCCCCAGAGGCTGCAGGAGGGAGGCCATTCCCGAGGCTCACACCGCCCTCCAGACCGGCGGTGCAGCTCTGCCCTCCCGCCTGCCCGCCTGGCGGACAGTCACTGGTCTCTGAGACTTGGAGCCCGGGGCACACGGCCCTCCAACACCCCCACTGCAGGGGCGGCCAGGGCCCCGGAGTAGCCCCCACTGGCCCGCAGAGAAGGTGCTGCAGTTTGTGGGGGGAGGGAACGCTCCGTGAGGAGGGCAGCTCCCAGGGAAGGAACAGCACTGCGGGGCTTCAGGAACAGTGCGCTGGGGGCTTCTGGAAGGCTGGCGGAAGGCATGGGGGCCGGGGAGCCCCAGAGGGGAGGGCTCAGCGGGGAGGAAAGGCGAGAGCCAGGCGCTGTGGGCCACCCTGCGAGACAGGACTGCCAGGGAGGGCGGGGACCACGGCCTGTTTTGGGGCAGTGGGGAGCCACAGAAGGTGCAGGAGGGAGG